CCGGCCTCAAGGTCAAAGGAGAATGTGCAGTTTTAGGAGCAGGAGGAGAAAATGGTCCCCTTCTTCCACCAAAATTGCTGTTTAAAACACTGAAGCCAGGCGTGCCGCATCCCTGTAATCCCAGTACTCGGGAGGCTGAGGCAGGAGGATCGTGAGTTCGAGACCAGCCTGGGCTACATAGTGAACTCAAGGCCGGCCTGAACTGCATAGCGAGACCCTGTCTCAGAAAGACTAAATAAATAAATAAATAAAATACTCATGAGGAGGGAAGGGAAATTACAGAAACGTGAGGACACAGGCCGGAGCTCAGACCCAGCACCTTTGCGGAGGACCGCAAGGCCCGAGGTCCAAACATGTTAAAATTTCCGCCCTTATTTGCTGCTGTTGGGAATGGAACCCAGGGCCTGCGCTCAGCGGCATGCCCAGACCTTTCTACTCCCTGTTTCTTTGGGGACAGGGTCTCCCCACCTCACCAATTAGCCCTGGCTTCCCGGGGTCACACACTTGCCCCTCTCGCCCGGCCAGGCTCATGTTGCAAGCTAGAAACCTCTCCCCCAGAGAAAAGGGCAAGAGAAGTCCCAAGGGGAGAGGGGCTCCCCGCGCAGCCCAGGGCTCCCCGCCCTGCTCCCCCAGCTTTCCCGCGCCTGGCGCTCTCCTGCGCTGCCCGCGGAGGCTTTGGACCGGGATCCCCGGCTTGTGACCGTTGGGGGTCACCTGAGGACACGGGGTCTCCCTATGCACTCCAGGCTGGGCTGGAGCCCTCCATGAAACCCAGAATGGACTCACACCTGCATCGATTCTCTTGCACGGGCGACCGGGCTGGGAGGACGGGCGTGCACCTCGAGGCCTCGCTCCCTAACCCCTTTCCTAAGATCCCGAGGCAGTCTCCCCAAATAGCCCAGGCCTGGCAGCGCTCCCGCCTCGGCCCCCGGAGCCGCGGGGTTCCAGGCCTGTGTGCCACTGCGCCCTGCAGCCCCGCGCTGGACTTTTCCTCTCCAGCTCCAGGAAATCACAGAGGGCCTGGGGGCCGGTTTGCTCCGTAATCAGGAAGTAAAGTGCATTTAGATCTCAGTCAGATGAATGACTGCAGTGCCAGGTGATGGGAATTTCTTGCCTTTCTTGTGCTGTTTTTTTTTTTTTTTTTTTGTACTGGGAATCAAACTCACAACCTCATGCTTGCCAGGCAGGCACTGTGCTGCTGAGCTAAAATACCAGGCCTGTGTCTGGTTGTTTTTGTTTGTTTTTCTGTTTTGTTTTGTTTTTTTTTTCCTGTGTTTGTTTTTGAAACAGGGACTCGTTATGTAGTTCAGGCTGGCCTTGAATTTGCACCGATCTTCCTGCCTCAGCCTCCTCTATGCTGGGACAACGGGCATGCGCCATCACGCCCGGCCTTGGAATTTCTTTTCTTTTTTCTTTTTTTTTGTTTGTTTGTCTTTTTAAGACATGGTCTTGCTGTGCAGTTCAGGTTGCCCTTGAGCTCACTTTGTAGCCCAGGCTGGCCTCGAACTCCTAACAATCCTCCTGCCTCAGCCTCCCGAGTGCTGGGACTACAGGCGTGCGCCACCACGCCGGGCTTGGAATTCCTTCCTTAAAGGCCCTGCACTCTGTGTTCCACTACGCAGGAATCAAGGCAAATTATAATTGTTATAGTGGTTTCTTGTTCTGTTCTCTTGATTTTTGAGACAGGGTCTCTCTGTGTAACCAAGGCTGGCATCCAAAGTGCTCAAATCCTCCTGCCTCAGCCTCCCCACTCAGGGATTACGGGCTCCCGCCACTGCGCCAGGCCACACACGATCTTAAACTCAGCAGGTAGCCTAGGGTGGCCTTGAGTTGATAAGATAGTCCTGTCTCAGCCTCCTGAGCGTCACCACACCCAAGCCAAAAATCCTTTTCCTCGTGCAGGGGATTAAAGCTCTTTGAAAGGATCAGGGAGGCGCTGCAGGGCCTGGGGAGGAGGGAGACCCAGAGGGGTGGGGTGGGGTTGGGGTGGGGGCGGAGGAGGGTCCCTGTCCCCTCGTCGGGCGGTCTATAAGAGCAGCAGCCGCTGAGGCCTGGGATCCGTCTCCACCTCCGGACCTTCGCTCGTGTTCTTCTCTGCTCTGCTCCGCGCCGCTCCGTCCCATCGCTGACCTCGACCCAGGCTCTCCGCCCCGGAGTCATCGCAAACCCCCAAGAGGCTGGCGCCGCCCTGACCGACCCATCCCCGGCCCCCTGACGACGCTCCTCCGTCCTGGACCAGCCCGGGCCGGCCCGCACTGGCCCGGGTCCCCCCACCCCGCCTGCGCCACTCAAACCGTGGGGGCACTTTGTGCTATGGACAGAAAGTGCCGCCGGGTTCCGAGTGCCGCCGGCCGGGCAGCGCCCCGCAGCGATCCGTCGGGCTGGGGTCCCCGCCGCCCCCAACTGCCGCCCGGGGGCCCTCAAATGCGGTAGCACTCTGCGGCCAGCACAGTGCTACGGCATTCGAGGGTCTCCGGCCGGCACCGCTGCGATCCGGCCAGGGGCGCCGCCCGTCCGGGGAGGCTGAGGCGGGAGGGTGTTTAGGATACAGGAAACAGTGCTCTCAGGTGCTGGGACCCAGCGCTTTGATCCCGCCGCTTGTGAGTCCTGCCGAGGTGAGGTCCCTTAGAGTAAGCACGCCTGTGGCCACTACCCGCCCGGTGGACTGTGCGGCCTCCACCTGCGCGACGCGGCCTCCTCGGGCTGAACAGCCCGACAAAGCCGCACCTTTCCAGGGACGACCCTCTTGCTTTGTGAGGGCGTCGGAAACCCCAGCCTGGCCTCTCCTGCCTCGGCCTCCCCAGCGGATCTCTGCAGTGCGAACCTCAGACCGCGGCCCGCAAAAGGGAGGCGCTGCCCGTGTGCGTGTGGGAAGTGCTTCCTTTTTGCGGTTCGCTGTGTGAGGAAGACGCGGCGTCGGACCACAGCGGGCCACGGCAGCCCGGGCCGGGCCCGGACGAGGGGCCGTTGGGCGGGGCGGGCGGCCTGGTTCTGACTGCGTTAATAAAGCGGTGGAATGCGACTTTTCTCGCTGCCTCTGGTCTAAGTGTGGGTGCGTCCCGGGCTCGGCCCTGTGGGGGCGGGGTACCCCGAGGGGCTGTGCATGGTGCACGGCCTTGCTCCCCCTCCCCCCCCGGTGGGCAGGTCCCCCGGAGTTTCACAGAACAGCTAGTCCGCCTGGGTCTGGGGGCGCCGAACATGGCTGTGATGGGGAGGCTCCCTCGACTCTGGGAACTTTCTGGGCTCCTGAGCACACCGAACTTTACGGGGGCGGTAGCAACCGAGCGAGAATTTTTAGGCGTATTTTTTGTTACACTCTTGAGGCTGGCCTTTCACCAAACCGTGTAGGCCCGCTGGGCTGGGATTCCTGGGGATCCTCCTGACTGGGCATCCACACACAGGCCCCAAGGTCTGGTGGGTGGGCCCCACAGGTCTCCCCGGGATCGGCCTCCCGGCTGGGGGTGAGGCGCGGCAGCCTCTTCTGGGGCTCTCAGCAGCCCAGGTCCAGGGAGGGCTTCCCAGCCCGCAGTGCGGCCAGCCTCCTGTGTGTGGATTTGCTCAGCTCCATCCCGAACAACCTGGGGGAAAAATATTGGCTGTGGGCAGGGCACGCGGCCTGTGTAACCTAGAGCCCCTTGAGTGTCAATTGTTACTGGGGTTTAAACAGCAGATCTTTGTACCTTTTTTTTAGACAGTGTCTCCCAGTGCCTTTCAGGCTGAGTCTGAGCTCACTCTTTAACCCAGCCAGGCCTCAAACTCGCAATGATCTTCCTGCCTCAGCCTCCTGAGTGGGGTTTCAGGCGTGAGCCACCATTACCGGCTCAAACCCCGCCTCTTTAATTCGATACCCGCAATCACTTTGGAATCCTCAAGCTCAGGACCTCGAGTTTAGCAAATCCCCAGCCCTGAACCCAGGATCTTTGAGCTGAGTTTTAATTTAAAATTTTGATTACTTGCTGGATTCCCATTGCTCAGCTTTGTGGTCACATCTGTGATCCTCCTGCCTCTGCCTCCAGAGTGCTTGGGTTCCAGGTCTTGGTCCAGGCACTCAGGTATCACCCTCCACTTCAAATCCCTAAGCTAATGAAGTCATGTCAGGATCAGGACACAAGGTGAGAGGAGGTGTAGAGCAGGTTTGCAAACGTCACTAGGTTGGTAGTAATAGAATTACCATGGTGGCCTTGCAGGCCTAGGACAACACTTTGGAGGCTGAGGCAAGAGGACCTCCCTGAGACAGAGGCCAGTTCAGACTAGGTAGTGAAAACCAAAAGTGAAGCCATGTGGGAGTGGGTGGGTGCAGTGTCCTTGTTTTGGGGGTTCTTCGTCCTCAGGGTGTGGGCTCAGGCGTGTGCACCCCCGGCCCCCACTGCAAGCCCGGGCTCCCTACCCCAGCAGCCAGAACCTCTCACCAGAGCACACGTAGCCTGCAGCTGGCCTGCCTCAGCCTCCTGCACAGCAGCCGCACACCCAGGTCCCCCAGGGCGTTGTTGGTCAGGTAGAGCTCGGTCAGGGCGGGGCTGCTGCCCAGCACGTGATAGAGGTCCTCGCAGGCCCCAGCTGTGAGGCTGCAGCTGTCCAGCCTGCGCAGGGCGGGGACAGGGGAGCCTGGGATCAGTGCGGTGCTTAGGGGACCCCTAGAAGAGGGAGGTGGGGGCCCAGCCAGGGCAAAGCCCAGTTGGTCACGAAAAGTATTTAAACACACTTAAAGTCAGCCTAGTGGTGCCTATCTGATTCCTGCACCTGGTGAGTTTAAGGCCAGCTTGGGCTACACAGAGAGATCCTGTCTCCAATAACCAAAATGTACGCCGGGTGCGGTGGCCCACGCCTGTAACCCCAGCACTGGGAGGCTGAGGCAGGAGCATCACTCTTTGAGTTCAAAGCCAGCCTCAACTGTGTAGCAAAACCGGGTCTCAAAGACAAAAGCAGCCAGGGATACAGCTCAGTGGCATAAGCGCCTGCCTGGCAAGTGCAAGGTCCTGAGTTCAATTCCCAGTACCAAAAAAAAAAAGTCAAACAAGAAAAAACATAACCATAATAAATTAAAGCCTTCGGGCATGGTGGTGCAGGCCCGTAATCCCAACATTTGGGAAGCTGAGGCAGGAGGATTACCATGAGTTCAAGGCCAGCCTGGGCTACACAGTGAAGTCCTGTTTCAAAAAACAACAACCAAAGCCAGGCACACCTATAATCCCAGCACTCGGGAGGCTGAGGCAGGAAGATCGTTGTGAGTTCGAGGCCAGCCTGAGCTATGAAGTGGGCTCAAGCGAAGCCTGAACTGCACAGGAAGACCCTGTCTCAAAAAGACGAAAAATAAAAAAAATAAAAATAAAGTGAGTGAAAAGCTGTACACGTACCCAAGCGCCAGCTTCAAGGGGAGAAGCACTGTTACAGAGGTGGGCTCAGAGCAGCACACAGCCGGTCACCAGACCCTTGCTGTCCATGTCCCCCCCCCCAGACGTTTCCTGTCCCCCCCACGCCCGAGCCAGGAGGCGCCGGCCCGGCCCACTCACCACAGCTTGCGCAGCCGGCTGGCGGGGTGCCGCAGCCCCTCCCCCAGCAGCGCGGCGCCCGCGTCACCCAGGTCGTTGAAGCTGAGGTCCAGCTCCCCGAGGCGCCCGGCCTGGAGCACGCAGGACAGCGCGGCGCAGGCGGCCGGGCCCAGGCGGCAGATGCCCAGCCTGCAGGAGAGGGGGGCTGCCGACTTCCACAGCACAGCGGGGTGAGGGGGGAAGAGCGAGGTGGGGCTCACAGGCCATCCCAGCGCGCAGGGGGCTGAGGCAGGAGGGCTGTGAGCTCAAGCCCAGCCCGGTCAGCTTCCTGAACTAGCGAGACCCGCGGGTAGAGGGTGAATCTCTGCCAGCTGAGTGCCCCGTGGGGTGCTTCATCACCGCAGCCCGAGGCCACTGAAGCAGACTGTTTCCAAAAGGGCACACGCCAAGGGACAGGGCTTAGGACCCGAACACAGGAACCGGCAAGACACAGAATGCAACTCTCAGCACCCAGTCATCCCAGCACTGAGGAGGCTGAGGCAGGAGGATCTCAGTGAGTTCAAGGCCAGCCTGAACTACACAGTGAGATCCTGTCTCAAAA